CCCTAGCAATTTAATAATAATAATAATAATAATAATAATAATAATAATAATAATAACATACAATCCTCATAACAACTCTTAAAAGTATTAATTGACTTACATAAAGAAAATTCAAAATAGAAGTTTAATTTAAGCCTAATATAATATAATGTAATATAATAATAAAAACTCAAGATCGCCTAAAGCGTAGTTACCACTCGTGGCAAACGATTATTAGCACTATCGAAAATACTATTGAAAGGAGCGTCTTGGAGGATGAAATTGTAGATGTATGAAATGGGTTTAAGATTGATTTCATTCGGTTCAATATTACAATGTACTAGTTATGGCACCAGTAGATTTATAGCGGTAGTACATTAGTCAGTGTTATGACCTCATTTATACCACTAGTTATTATTCATTCTTGGAAAGTTATGCAAGTGCTGATTGTTGTAGTTTAGCTATAGTGCAACTGATGTCAGCTGAATAATAAGGAATAGGACACACGTTTGGCTAGAGAACAAAAGAAATAATAATAATAGGCCTAATAATAATAGACCTAGTATTTATTTACCGGCAGTGTTTGTATACATTTGAAGCGTGAAGTAAAGAAAACAACACTACAATATTATCATGATGTCATTATTTCCGTAAAGTTAATGAGACATAGGCATAACACATAACAATATTAAATTTGTTATTATTTTTTGAGTTAAGACACTTTTAATGATATAGACCTAGTGTGTTAATTAGGATTTTTAATATGTTACAGTCTGGTATATCTATGTTTGGGTGAACCTTAATAATAATGATATTACCGGTATATAATGTGTATGTACTGCGCTTCACAGCTCCCGGTCAATCATTTTTTTAATTATTTGCCATGTTTGTCGAATTCGTAATAAATAAATAAATTATACTTCACAAGGCGTACATAACATCGGAATAACTTATACATACTATTAATTAAATAGTACCGGTAATATAATAAAAATGATACTAATAACTTACTACTAATTACTTTTTAACTTGGTTTGATAATAGAAAATTTCTCACATCAAACAAAAATGTTTTGACGCCCATTCCATAAATAATTATGGTATTGCATGTATTTCTTTGAAAACATCATTCTAAAATTGATTGATAAAAACTCAAGATCGCCTAAAGCGTAGTTACCACTCGTGGCAAACGATTATTAGCACTATCGAAAATACTATTGAAAGGAGCGTCTTGGAGGATGAAATTGTAGATGTATGAAATGGGTTTAAGATTTCATTCGGTTCAATATTACAATGTACTAGTTATGGCACCAGTAGATTTATAGCGGTAGTACATTAGTCAGTGTTATGACCTCATTTATACCACTAGTTATTATTCATTCTTGGAAAGTTATGCAAGTGCTGATTGTTGTAGTTTAGCTATAGTGCAACTGATGTCAGCTGAATAACAAGGAATAGGACACACATTTGGCTAGAGAACAAAAGAAATAATAATAATAATAACAGGCCTAATAATAATAGACCTAATATTTATTTACCGGCAGCGTTTGTATACATTTGAAGCGTGAAGTAAAGAAAACAACACTACAATATTATCATGATGTCATTATTTCCGTAAAGTTAATGAGACATAGGCCTAACACATAACAATATTAAATTTGTTATTATTATTTTTTGAGTTAAGACACTTTTAATGATATAGACCTAGTGTGTTAATTAGGATTTTTAATCTGTTACAGTCTGGTATATCTATGTTTGGGTGAACCTTAATAACAATGATATTATATAATGTGTATGTACTGCTCTTCACAACTCCCGGTCAATCATTTTTTTAATTATTTGCCATGTTTGTCGAATTCGTAATAAATAACTAAATTATACTTCACTAGGCCTACATACTACATCGGAATATCTTATACTTACTATTAAATAAATTTTAGTAATAAATAAAAATTATACTAATAACTTACTACTAATTACTTATTAACTTATTACTTGGTTTGATAATAGAAAATTTTTCTCACATCAAACAAAAATGTTTTGACGCCCATTCCATAAATAATTATGGTATTGCATGTATTTCTTTGAAACCGTCATTCTAAAATTGATTTATTTGAGATAGGCATACACAACGTAAGTGGTAATAAATATTCGCCTTTTTAATATTCCTACCATCTTCTGTAAATGTTATGATTCGCAATATGTAGCCATTCAGGCGGAACAAACGAGAGCATCGTGACCACACTCGATGTATATCTTGAAAATAGACCATTTTCATGCAAATTGTTTCGCTCGTAAATGAAGTAATGAATAATGCAGTTTTTTTTAGAATACCGGTACCACAAAGAAACGTGGAAATTATAATTTCGTAGCGCGAAGCAGTTGGTGACGAATATCTTTTTATGTAATATTGTGTATGTACAATTTATCGTTGGCAGCGCCAATCATTACGCGTGCTGTCGCTCACCGGTTCGTTGCGGAGTGAACACAAGAGGAAAGGTTTTCTTTGTCAAGAATTAAATCAAGTTTGGTTGCCAAGGCAGAGAATGAGCTGTAGTACTCATAGCAACCTTTTTTCTTATCGTTTTTGTAAATAATACCAGTGGTCAAACTCCTGTTGCATTTGATTTACATTGGCATAGAATACTGACTCTTCTGTAAAAACGTACCTACGTGGTAAGTGGTTGAAGTCACTTTATGCTTACGTGTAGTATGTATTTTATTTACTTTTTGTTTAGGCCTATGGCTATCCTAATTAAAATATGTGCATACATATTCTGCTGTAAAATAATTAAAAAAAAAACCCACTATAAACAGGCAGATCTCTTGTATAAGCAATTTTGCGCATCGATGCGGGTCAGCTTCTCAACCTTGAGGTTAGGGGTTCAATTCCTCGATGTGCATTTTACCTATACGGTTGCCCCTCCCTCTGCGCCCTAAAATACAATGGGAACTTGATAGGCTGGAACGTAATTGGCCTGATCACTAGCTGTAATAAAATGGCATTCTCCTCAGGGACTTGCGTATGTGTTCCATATTATGTGTTTGATCCATTGACCGGGAGTAATGATGTGAAGCCTTTATTTTCATCGTCACCGTCAGTCGAGTTTATCGAATTATGAGTTGTCCACTTCCCATCAACACCAATACGTTATATACATTTCACGCATTTCTCTATCATCAACCATATTGTAGCCTTTAGTTCTTCTTCCGTCCCGTGGATGCCCAAAACGTTTAGTTATATGGGTAGGGGTTGTTGCTATAGAATATGGATTCGATTACCTTAATCGTAGAGTGTGTGTCTAGTGCTTACTACAAATTTTTAGTGAGTTATTTAAACTGGTATTACATACCAGTACGTAAGACATGACTTTTGCAACGATGATTAACTTCATATCTATAAAGTATGCCAATATCAATTTTTATTACTTTCATGTAAAACAACTGGAATCAAGTCATGCAGAGGCAAAACTATATAGGCCTACTAACGTTACCTTGTACATAAGGAATCATTTAAATTGATATTCATAATTATTAAGAGTCTTTGAGAACAATCTAAAGTTCTTTAGCGCAATGACAATGTCAAAGACATTATTTCACTATTGGCCTGTTTCAACATTTCTATAGACTTTTTATTCAACTATTTCGTCAAGTAACGAGGAATATGTTTTTTGTCTTCATGGACTCTAATGTCTGATCTTTTGGTTGCAAATCCCTAATATTATTATAAAAGCACAATTTTGGGCCATACTAGGCCATACAAACATCCCTATCTAGTCAGCATTTTTCTGGAGCCGCCGCTCGCAATAAGGTGATTGAGGTGATGTTTTGGGGAAAGACTGGGAGGGGGAGTAGTAGGGGGGGGGGAGGAAAGATACTCCACCACTCCGCGAAGCTTATTTAGTCGCATGGTGGTGTAAGAAAGAATAATCCACGAATAAGATCTTCCTCTTTGCATATTACTTCCATTCATTGCAAGCTCAATACAAACACCACGACTTAGAATTATCAATACCAGTGGGAATAACACGCATCAGTACGGTACGAGGTATAGTAAATATCAATAATACGGTATGGTGGGTGATATTATTTAATTGAACAATACGTATACAGCTCAGTATGTTAAAGCCATTATCGCCTTTGCCTAATTGAGACGTTCCCTTTACCCCATGGATTTGAGGTGTGAATGTAAATTAAAATTAGTGGCAAAACGTTGTTATTTGAAACTTTATTTCTCTCTTTTTATATATTCACTGTGTCCACTAACGTTCTGTACTCCATAGGTCTGTATTTTGCATCTGCAATTCCTATTATTATTATTGGAGCCACAACACTTAGCTGTGTTTTCAAACGGATATTATTATTGTCTCTGCTGTTATTTATTTATTGGAGTGTTATATTATGAAATTTTACCAACAACTGCAGATGCGTTCAGTGCATTTATTGATTTAGGTAAATATCCTACTGAAAGGATTTACAGCGTCACTGATTTGCATGCTAACGTTCTCGTCGTAGGACGTGCGTTATGCAATTCGTGACTAGGATTTTCTGACACAGTGGTTTCCTAGCTATCACGGTAAAGTAGACTAATATGCCTGGAAATTCAATGTTAGATAGGCCTATAGGACTAGAGATGTTACAGAAACTATCGAAGCTTAATTGGAAGTTCATGAAAATAAATTTGATGACACGGAGGGTGATGATTACCTTATGATGACAATGATCATAATATATCAATGATGTTGACATTGATAAAATGATTAATTTCATATCAAGACCTTGTATATTTACAAGAAACGGGATAAATTTAACATTCTTACCCTTTATATATCAGTAAACAAATAATCTTCACTTTTATAAATGCGAAGCAGATACACGGTTAATGATACAATTATTCACAGTGCTATTCCAATTATTTTATGGAAGTTAAAGGGTCTTTTAAAATGCTTACACTACGGATTTGACTATTTAACTTTAACTTAATTTAAAAAAAATGATTGTATGGCGTTGGTGTAAACTATAATACAATACCTATACTCCCCTGGCCACGTAACAAACGATGCTACACTAATTAATCGATAATTCATAGCAGCATTTTTCGCCATCGTACAGTTTCATTGTTGGTATACAAATCAGAAAAGCACGATGTTCAAGAAAGACGAGCTACGGAAGTTCCAGAAAGAAGCACTGGAATCCCACAATGAATACAGGTCAATGCATGGAACGCCAAAGCTTAAGTTGGCGGATGACCTGAACAAGATTGCCCAGGCCTACGCCGAGGAACTAGCAAAAACCGACAGCTTCAGACACAGTAAATGCGATGGCATAGGAGAGAACCTTGCAATGCATTTTTCGTCCAAGTCTACTGACTATTGTGGTAGGTTAGCAAAATGTTATATATCTTGGAAGATTGTAAAAGAAATATAGGGAGCGGGAGAAATAGGAGAGCGAAAGAGTAAGATACCAGGCGAAGTTAATAAATGAGTGATTGAATACATTAATGAATAAATTCATACACAATCATACGAACGGATATTGTTTGAAAATAAATGAATGGATAAATACACTAATGAATGAAGAGATGAGTATGTGAATAAATTAATGAATGAATGGATGGATGAATTCGAAATGAAAAGGTAGAGGTCAACTTAATAAAATAACAATTTCATAACATCGATCTTGTTTATGTCTGCAGGCGGAGAAGCAACTAAGCAATGGTACAGTGAAATAGAAAAGTACAAATTTGATCGTCCTGGATTCACGCCTGGTACAGGTACGTTAATATTCTTTAGTTCACAAAGTTATTGAATTGGTTATTGAAAGGGTAGAAGACATGGAGGCCATTTCACAGATGGATGGTCGGGACCACCTCATCCCAATGGTTTAGGCTGGGGTAAAACAAAAAATATGTTTGTGGCACTGTCAGACTTAACATTTGAATAGGCCTATTTTATATATTTTTTTCTCCTTTAAAAAAAATTACAACAGAGAGCGCTATGGTAACCTTCTCAAGGAAAGTGTGATTCAAAAATCAGCTGTGTGTCTACTTCTGCCAATATATTCGATTAGTATTATTGAATAATATTATCTTCTAGGCCACTTCACTCAGGTTGTTTGGGCAGAAACCAAAGAGATGGGCATCGGTAAAGCCGTAACAAGAAGTGGCAAAGTAATAGCGGTAGCAAACTATCGTCCAACTGGAAATATGTTGAGTAAATTTAAAGACAACGTTCTACCTCCTAAAAAGGGAGCCATTGGTACAACAAAACACAGACATCGAAGTTCCTCTAGTAGCAGCAGCAGTAGTAGCGATGATGAGGAGAAGAAGTTAAAAGGAAAGGTGAGACATTCCTGTGGCAACCTTCGAGTTTATAGTTTTATTTACGATAATTAATTCGTCAAACAACTTTGACTGAGATTAAACTAAAATTCTATTGTTTCCCGCGCCGGAAAGAAGACAAAATAGAGGAATCTATGAACAAGTTATCACAGCGAATTCACGTGAGCCGATTTCCTTATACCAGCAAATTGAAAGTAAACACAATATTAATACCCACACGAATAGTGTGGTCTCTGTTTTTCTTAATTAACTTAATTACTTTTAAATGATATTTAAATAGATGTCTTAGGTAGGTGAAAGCAACAACGCTTCGAATAGGCCTATCCATGTTTTACGATGCAAAGTCCTAAGAAATTTCCAGTGGGGCTCAGTGGAACGTTCACATGTGCCATATTTTAAGCGGACCAAAGTTGTATATATCTATGATATTTTTTCTGTATATGGTACTACTTTACAGTTGGGCCTGTTCAAAAAGAAAAATAAAGACTCGGACTCGACAGATATCTCTAAATCTGAGCTCCGAAAATTCCAGAAAGAGATGTTGACAGCCCATAATAAACATCGCGAAAAGCACGGCGTACCGGCTTTGAAACTTTCTGATGAGGTCTGTAAAGACGCACAGAAATTTGCTGAAAAGCTGGCGAAGACAGGAAAACTGGAGCACAGCACTAACCAAGAGTACGGCGAGAATGTTGGCATGCACTATTCATCAGCTACGACTGAATATTCCGGTTAGTAATGATTTTTAAAATTATAATTATAGTTGTCTTTATTGAATAGGCCTATGTTATTTTTTGATTGTTTAATGTTAATTAAAAAACAACCATACAAGGTTTTTCATTTACGTCTATGTAAACTGTATTAATTTTGCCTTTTAATAGGAATAACCGACAACGAATTACATCAGTTAGTAGTTTAATTCTCTTATGTTAATGTCTTAAATCTAATACGCTGGTATAATACTTATTGTATAGGCCTACTTATTATGCCAGTTAACCTAAAAATCCTAAAGGTGGCCACCCTATGAAGCCAAGCTTACGATCCTTGAAACTAGCTCAGCTATAAACTGCTGTGCTGCTGAATAAATAAATAAAAAGAACCAGAGTTTCTATATTTCCATAACATTTCCTAAGGTCCAATACATAAGTACAATCACATTATTTCCAAATCTCTATTAAAACTAAGATGGCTATGATGCTCTCACGTTATGAATTTATGAGGCTTGAGGACTGATGTTAGCGTCCGGGGCATCCTGCATTTGTTTTGCAAATGTTATGCTTGTTTATGTGTCTATGTCCCCTCGGGGGGACACTATGTTATCATCAGGCAGCTTTAAGATGGCTGAAAAGTTAAATCCGGTGGAGGTGCATGATGGGCCATTTGTCATCGTAAGTACCTTGTTACTGCACCAAAGTCATAAAAGAAAATACAACAACATATATTATTTCCTGATAACCGAATCCCACGTGGATACTTTGTTTGTAAACATATCAGTGAGGCATAATAAGTATAGGATCTGTCTCTTATACACATCTAGATGTGTATAAGAGACAGATATATATTTGAAAATAAATTAGATGGTTACATTGCAAACTCTTTGTTTCTTGCTTTATTCAAAAATGTTTTGTTTTTGGAAGCTGATGTCAACATTAGAAAGCATAGCCTACATGAAGTCATATTATAGTAACTCGATGCCTATCAAATAAGTAATAAAAATTTGCCATAATTCATCAAATACCCGTGGCTTCCAGGGGGCTTCGCCCCCTGGACCCCCACCGGGGGCCCTTGGCGGCCCCCCTGGCCCCCAGCCAAGTGAGACTCGATTCGCTCCAAAGTGGGACTCGATTCGCTCCACTAGCCCCCCGTCGAGGCCTTTAGCCCCTCCGTCGGGCAGGTCCTGGCGCCACCCCTGTAGACACTCCCACTTTGAGCCTATTTTTGTAGAGTTCTGGCAGTCTGAAGTAAATATTCAAGTAATAGAAAAGGGACGGGTTTGCGAATAAAATCACGAGTTTTGAGAACAATACTGCAACTTATCATCTTTGTAGGTCTATTTTATTATGCTGTTTAGTTGAGTGGTCATTGTTATAAACGTGACCTCTGAAATCAATTTTCCATTCGACCATTACGGCACAATACAGTAATTGTATTAATTCAGGTTAGGCAATAGAGACCAGTCTCCTTTGTACAAACAGTTCTTTCAAATTATGGTCGTATTCTGGCCAAGGATTACTCATTATTGATGCTTTTGTTGCATTCTGCTGGCGAAAGGCCTAGATGGTTGTATAATCATAACGTAACAGGTAAGTGAGTAGACATAGGTTATAACAACTTTACAGCAGTTTATACCAATTGGTTTTTAAAGAGATTTCCGACATGGCTATAATACCAATTACAAACAACATTAGGCTAGCAAACGAGTTTGTTTTGGCAGAAGTAATCAATGGCATCATCTATGGGAACAGCTGCAGTTTATTTGCAATAACAACGTGCAAGACGTACTACTTTACGCAAGAGCCTCCTAGCTTCAAAAGTAAAAGAATCAGCTTGATACGGACTATACCTCCATGATACGGACTAGTCTTTTGGCAATATTGGGGATCCACTTCCATGTAGGGTGCTTCTGTAGGGCCTAATATGCCCAAGTGGTTGTCATCAGTTGCTAATAAGCTCTAAAGCTGTGTAAAATATTACTATTCGAGAAGTTAGGTAGTTCAGTATCTCCATTGCGTTTATTCCGTCGCTCTACTACAAAAACATGCCTACAAGATGGAACGATAAGTTCGAATTCTGTCTGTTTCTATTTTCAAATATTAATAAAATTTCTGTCTGTAGTTGTTTGATTATAAATAATTGATTTAGTAAGTGATTTATTGATTGGAATGATCGATCGATCTATAATTGATTGATTGATTTGGCCTAGGAATATTATTACCGTATGCATGTATCTTTAACTTTGTCTTTCAGGTACTGAAGCTACCAATCGATGGTATAGCGAAGTCAGTAAATACGATTTTTCTGACCCAAGGTTCAAGTCTGGAATAGGTACGAGGCATAATTCTGTTATAAAAAAAAAACAAACAAAAAACAAAAACAAAAACACAAGCATACACTTCCATCAGACATGACTCTCCCTACCATATTGTAAAGCCAACAAGAGAAACCAAAATAATTATGTTTTTATATTATCTAATATAATATATATTTTAGTACTATTAATAGGCCTACTACTACTATTAGGCCTAGGCCTACTAATGTTATTAGATATACACTGAAATAAACAAAACAACAAACCGATTACTTTCACACCATTACACATAACTGATCGTAAAAACCAATGCTCTGAATTTACACTAAATAAACTAAGTAAACGCATTTTAGAAGTACAAAAATAAATAATTTCCAATTTTTTTACCAGGCCACTTCACTCAGGTTGTATGGAAGGACTCGAAAGAACTCGGCGTGGGGAAAGCGATCACTAAAGACGGAAAAGTCATCTTCGTTGCAAACTACAGACCGCCCGGGAACATGAGTGGCGATTTCGACAAGAATGTATTTCCGGAGGGATATAGACCAAGCAAAGATTCAAAGAAGAAAGATGAAGAAAAGGATAAAAAGGTAGACTTATAATATATTAATAATTGATATTGGAATATTTTTATTCTTATAGGCCGCATCTCTGGTTATTGTACAAGGCCTTACTATTATTAGGCCTACTATCATCACTATCATCGTGACGTGATCGTGATCATCATCGTTTTCATCATTATCATCATCATCATTATCTTCATCATCGTTGTTAGCGACCATTACCATCTTCATTCAACTTTTCCTCCTTATTATCATCATCATTATCATAGGTCAATCATCAAGAGCCTAATCATCACCATCATTGCAATTATCACTACCGGTAAACTCATGGATTAATCGACGAACAATGTAAAACTGCTTCGATTGCTGTAGAGTGTTCCATAAAATATAAATTATTTGTAAAATTTTAGACGCCGTTTACTTCACATTTTCAAATGACATGAAAATGTAGTTCAGATGTTAAGACGATTGCCTCCCAATAATTTACTTAATTGTTCCAATATAGGCCTAGTAGTAATAGGCCTATATTTGGAAGTACTAACATACAAAGATGGTTATTAGGTACTTAAAAGGAATTAATTCTTGCACTCGTAGCCGATGATTAATTATTTTTAGATAGGTGTTTTTCATGTTAAATTTATAGTTTTATACTGCATAAATTACAATGAATCAGAATCGTTTCGATGAATCGTATATACAGATTTCAAAATCAGAACAGAAGCAGTTCCAGCAGGAGGCGTTGACCACACACAACGAGTATCGCGTAAAACATGGCGTCCCAAAATTAACTGCTTCGGAAGATCTGAATAAACACTCACAGAAATGGGCCGAACATCTAGCCAAGACCGGAAAATTCGAGCACAGTGAACAGCGGCAGTACGGCGAAAATATCGCCATGCACTACTCCTCCGAAACAACCGACTACTCGGGTGAGTAACTGTGTGTAGGGGCGTAATAGTTTCCAACAAAGATCTTATAAACACAAGATAGCGTTCTCCGGGATTTACGCGTGCAAA